TTCACCGCTCAGTTGTGGCTCATCGCGGTCAAGTAAACCTGAAGTGTCAACTAGAGCTGGGCATCCGTACAGTCAAACCATGGCCGCATCCCCATTGACTGTAATGGTAAATCCACTTTTCGACTTCGACCGCAACCCGACGTCAGAGTGGAAATATGTCTCAAACGCTATCTGTCGATCTCGTACGTATATTTTATTTAAATTATAAGAAATAAATCTCAGTGAACATGCTGTATTCTGTATTTGATTTAACAGCCGACGAGGTGTTAGCTCTGCTGGAAAAGTAATTTGCGCTTCTTCAGTACCAGGATTATGAGTTCTACATTTGATTTACAAGCTAATTTTGAACAAAATAAACAGCCTTTGCTTCCTTTTGGCGATTCAGTTTACGATCGGTTTTTACTAGGATCCACAATACACACGTTCTCCCACGAATCCGAAGTACCCATGAGCGCGCTCGAATACATAGCACGGTCGTCCTGCTGTATCTCAATGTATCCTTTTTTCCGCGTATAGTTACGTAAAAGCTTCATCAGCGCTACACCGACCAGAAGCGCCAGTACACACGAGCACCCATTGTAAATGACGCTCAGCACACTCGAGTTGCCATCCATCTGTCGCTACATTCATCGAAGTTGTCAGATGACACGGCTGCTCTACCTTCGTGAATTTATACACGCTTAAAATTATGAAAAACACATGCCCCCCAAACATTGTGTTGTAGAACCTGCTTTATTATGGTAAGAATTTTACCATAATAAAGCAGGTTCTACAACACAATGTTTGGACAAATAGGAAAATTTATGAAGAATTTCACCAAGACAATTGTTGTCATTATTACAAGACACTTCGAAGTCTTGAAAACTTTTAATACGAATCACCGGCAAAAGTGCCGTCATTTCCTCCATAATCACCTGTATCTCCACTAAAGTCACCCGTATCCCCGCTAAAGGTATACGTATCATCTGTAACGCCCGCCATAGTTCCACCGTATCCATTGCCATTGTTCCCGTTGTTGTGACCACCAAATGCAGAGCCCAGCGCAGCGCCAACACCCAACCCTCCCAGTGCACCTAGTGCACCTGCTGCCATCGAAGAGTTACCGCTACTCTCACGATACGGAGATGACTCATAAACCATTGGGCCCGATGCATAGGGGTAAGAAGGCTGTTGTTGATTTGGATACGTTCCATATTGGCTAGTAGCAACAGGTTGTGCGTACACAATCTCCTCTTCTCGCTGTTGACGCGCACGACGCGCTGGTAGGTAGCAGCAGCATACACAGAACAGTAGCAGCAGAAGAAAAAATATTAATGTACCTGACACACCACTTCGATGCGACCTAGAGTGGTAATTGTCGTCATCGTAGTGATAGGTGGGCACGATGCGTCGACAGCGACATTCGTATGGGTTAGCAGCGCACTGCGCATCCCGTGGACAGCAGCATGGTGCACCAGATGCCATTCCAAGACAAAATTGGCCTGGACGACCACGGAAAGCATGGTCACATTGGCCAGTTTGCTGACACAATCCACAGCCCGAGAAGGCAGCGGACAATGTCGCATTCTCTATAAAGTCTCCGAACTCGCGAACGTCATTTGTCCCGAGCTGCATACGATCAGAGTCAGCATCTTCTGTTGAAACATAAATTGGGGATTTCTCCTCTGCGCAGACGCCAAGTGTCGGCGAGAGCAGCAACAAATGCGCGATCCACCACTTGAGCTGCATGTCAGAAAAGATCAAGTGACAAGATAATTGGGTTGGCTTATGTAGTGTACACAATAGAATTACACCAACCATAGCTTCAATTTCACTGATTAACATGAGCCGCATCTTCGTGGGTTTCGATACGTCCTTTGTTCATGATTTACCCGCAACGCTCGATGAGGTAAATACGGCACATATACATAAATTTACGTGATTATTATACCCTGTGGTCACTTCTTGTAGGTCTATGAAGACAAAATAAATGGTATAGCAGCACCTCTTTTCCATCCTCGGTACGAAAACGGCATGAAAACACATTCATCGTTTGTGTACAAACTCTGATCGCCATTCTTAGCTTTAAGCGTGATGATCACGAGCTTTCAGACTTGCGTGATGGACCACAGACACGTTCTGACTTGGTCATGGACTCGCGCGGTTGGACTGCGTCAGTTGTGGGCAATATTTCCAAATATATTGACCTGGATGCTACAACACTGAGCGTACGTTTAAGTGCAGAGAAGATTTTCAAGCAAGAAGTGGCGTGGGCATCGCATCTGTCTGTACGAGCTGTGATGTTGCCGTCGCCTCGCCACGTTTACAATTCTGCGAACTACGCACGGGTGCTTAATCAGTCGCTGACACAGGCGCAGTATCTGCAGTTTTGGGTGCGTATACCCCTGACGACGAGACAGCAATTGAATGTCACAGCCTCAATGGAACTTGATTCGGAAGCTGGTCTCCGTGGTTCTGCTATGAAGACAGATGAAGGAAAAGAGGACGCTCAAATCGACCCGTGGGATACGTGGGATGCCTTGCGAGCTCGCTGCGAATATCACCCAAAACTGCACGTGGCCTTAGAAATCACAGCCGATCTACCAAGCACAGAGGAGATACAACGCTGGCTAGGAGAATCAGTGAAGGTACGTGAGTAATTTGTTGCCAGTGAAGCTGCGAGTCTGAATAGCTCATGTTGTGTATATAGGCAGCGATTATTCCGATGAATATCTTCCTGACCAATCGCAAGGGATTCCCGACACTATCACAACGACACCAGAAGCTCATGGCACATCTTTTCCAGCACAATATTCAATTTTATCTCAGCGGAAGGCCTCGACATCGTGGCAAGCTATTGCCATACGTGCAGTATCTCCACTTTTTATATAGCAAGCGTCCAAATTTAGACCGAAAAGCGCAGTTTGAGGCCCCGTATCTCGACTATCTTCAAGCTCCATTACAGCCTTTAATGGATAACCTCGAATCGCAGACGTACGAGACATTTGAGCAAGACGCATTTAAGTACAATCAGTATGAAAAGGCGATCACACTGGCGTTGGCTAAGACCCGTGAAGACAAAGAGTCGGTCGTTATGGTCGTTGGCGCAGGCCGTGGACCCCTCGTACGCTCTGCTCTTCGTGCTGCCTTGGCTGCGAATCGTAAGACGCGGATGTTTGCGGTTGAAAAGAATCCTAACGCAGTGATAACGCTACGAAATCTTAAAACGTCAGAAAAATGGGACAACGTCACGATCGTTGCATCCGATATGAGAAACTGGCGAACAGATGAACGTGCAGATATAATGGTGAGCGAACTTTTGGGTTCCTTTGGAGACAATGAGCTGTCGCCAGAGTGTCTGGATGGTGCACAAAATTTCTTGCAAGGTAAGCGGATTTTTATCGCTTGATCAGATAGGATGCGACTTATAAGTGTGTTGGTGTAGAAAATGGAATTAGTATTCCATGTGAATACACATCTTACGTGACGCCAGTCATGTCATCAAAACTCTGGAATGAAGTCAAAGTACAAGACTCGCTTAAAAGCTTCGAAACGCCGTATGTTGTTCGCCTTCACAACTTTTACGCATTAGCTCGGACCCAAAAGTGTTTTACTTTCACCCATCCGAAATTTCATGGTCGGATTGACAACAGAAGACAAGCGGAACTTCGCTTTACAACTACCGAGAGCGCTGTTGTCCATGGTGTGGCAGGTTACTTTGATGCTGTGCTCTTTGAGGACGTGACATTGAGTATCGAACCGGAATTGCACTCGGACGGCATGTTCAGTTGGTTCCCCATTTTCTTCCCCTTGCGTCAACCATTGCGCTTAGAAAAAGGCGACGACATTGTTGTCAGCTTTTGGAGACTTGAGTCTAGCAATCGTGTTTGGTATGAATGGTCGGTATCTACAGGTGACGGCAAGCGCCATAATCCAATTCATAATCCTAATGGTCGGTCCTACTGGATTGGGCTATAAGAAAGCCAAAACGATCTGACTTTTGTTAACTTGTAAAAGTATCAGTATATGAATAAAGGTATCTACTCTTAGAGTTCGTCGCGGGTCTGCACATTTTCAACAATATGAATGGATTCATCGCGGGAATGGTGCTCATATAGATCATCAGAATGATCGGTTGACTCCAATTGTCCGCCAACAACAGTGACAAACACGTTTTTGAGCGCTTTCTCTACTTCATGATCTCCTCCAAGCCCGCGTGCTTGTGCTAACAATTGTGTTAGCGTTTGGCTGCACCGTTGCACGCGTTTTGGCCAGGCCGAGCGTACGGAAAACTCTCTTACCAAGTCCCAAGCGTCAGCAAATCCATTACTGACTTCAAAGCGCAAATTTACTGCATCTCGATCATTGTGTGTTGCTAGATTGACACCTACACCATTAGAGACGGCAAGTACTGGGATTGTTATGTTGTACGCATGCCAACTTCGTCGGACACTCGGGGGCGTTAAAAATGTCGTATTTTCCTGCTGCTTTAGGATCACGACACTCGCACCACGACGCTGAGCATTAGATACCTTTTCCAATGTGGTACAAGGTCCTGTTGGTGCAATTGGTAGAAGTATCGCTTTTCCTTGGTACTCCAACGGATTTTTATCATCTGTTACGACATTAGTGCACGCAAGCTTTTCATCCAGTAAAATGGCAAGAGGAAACGCCATTTTCGTGTGCAGAACACTACCATACGTCGCTGCAAGGAAATGACCCATGCGGACTTCGTCTTGATCTTCTTGAAGAATTGATACAAAGCCGCTACGAGCAGAAGCAGCTTTTATGTAATCTTCTTCTACATCATATCGAGGTTTGCATATGTATGGCTTGCGTTCGCATGTCATGGGAATAAGTCGGCCGTAAATCGTCATGTGTTTAGCTACATGACGCAACATATGGCCAGCACTGCGCCGGATCATGACGGACGCAATGGATATTTGATCATCAATCGCAAGATCTGCTACCGGAGCACTCACGTCGTCTGTATCGCTTATTATTACGAGTGCAGCAGCGCCCATCTGGTCAGCAAGACGCGCTTTTAGCTCAAATGTACACTGTCCACGGTCTACAATCAATACAGACGACCGATTGGTAGCTTTGACTTCCAACAGCTCTTGCTCAGGTAGTAATTGGCAGCCAAAGCGGTCTTCGGTTTGTTTAGGGAAGTAAAAAGAGACTTCATGTGCCGTCATGAACCCGCCGAAATTATCGCGAAAGTACTGGATGGGAGCTAGACCGTTGCGTAAATAAATGCGGCCCCATGAAGACTCTGGCGCTACAATTGCAATGCTGGTATTCTTTTTGGCATTGATGAAGGGGATAGTGAGGCACAGAAGCAGCAGTAACGGTACTTGAGAATGCATGGCTGGACTTTTAGCAACGATAGCCGTGATAGTAAATGAGAAAATGTTGACGTCTCTTTGGGCCTCGATTCGATCTATTAGATTAGAAAGAGATACATTGCTGTGAAAACTTATATGCTTCTGAATTTATATATGATGCTAGAGACGCTAGCTTTCGACATTTACGAAAAAGTGAAGCGCCTACTTGCAAAATTTTCATTCACTGGTCGGTATTGCCAATGAAATGTACGCAAATTACAAATCGACCAAGCATATACGTCACTTCGACTTTGACCTAGAGAGTTCGGGTTGACATAATAGGCTTTAATGGCTGTAAGTAGATTATCTTATTAAAGTGACTGTGCAAGTGCACTTTGCACAGAGAAAGCTTCGACTCCAAGATTCCGAATTGACGAGCACACAAAGGTTGGATTTGTATGCTTCACCTAGAAGCGAAATTGAGTGCATGATAAGTATGGTTTGCTTTGCTGCTTCAAGACTGACATATATTTAGGATTTGTTCTATTTACACTTATTCTTAATGTATGTTTAACAATATCTCAAGATTAGATTTAGATTGTATTGTGTGACGTGCGGCTAGCAGACCACATGTACTACGTACCTCTCCTTTGAGAAATCGCATCATCCTTATAAATACCAGTACCTTACTACTGATGAGTATTCAAAACAGCACAAAAGTACGATGTGGATTTCGTACAATTATACCAATGCGTATTTTGCACTTGTAAGGGGTTACACGTACCTTGTATGAAAGGGGTCGCACAAAATGGTGTGACCGTACATATATGCGAATTACACAAGTTGGTGTAATCACACAATGGTGTGGCTACAACGTAACAAGACGTGGCAGGATTGCCAGTAGTAATGCATATTCAAAAGGTTTTACTATATCAATTAGGTTAATCAGGAAAACCTAGTGGTTTTTGATATTGGCGGCTCTGCCTCAACTAAAACAATTAAATTCAGCTTCAATTTTGAATGAACGAGTTCACTTACCTAATTTAAGGTTTTCAGTACTCTTGGGGGCAGCGGATTGCGATTCGCTGCACTCGTACTGGTTCTTGAAAAGAACGTAAGGTCGGTGACCTTAGCTAAGCTTCTTCTAAGCAAAAAGCTACGGCAGCCCCGCTGCACTTGGTAGCACTCGAAGTCAATCTACGCCTGAGTCTTTACGACAGATCCTTTGTGAGGATGGAGGAATACTCCTATTAGCCCCAGGGTATGCAGGACGGGCTTAATAAGCTGATGTCCCTGCTGAGCCCTGAGGGCGTGGAGCACCTTGTTGCGCAACGGCCTGAAGAGATAAGGGCGCGCCTAGTGGCGTTTTCGAGTTATAAAAATTCTCTATTAGAGCACTTACAGCAAAAGCTGTCAGCGTCAACTGCGCTCATGACGCAACCTTGACGACGGATGATTCTTCCCGACCCAAGCCGCACATGACGAGCGTTAATACCTTTGAAGGCAAGGATGGAAAGAATCTCTTTCTCTGGGTGACAGAGCCAGATGGCTATGGCATCCGCCATGCCCCAGAACGAGCAACAGCGCGTGGCACTAGCTATCTCCAATCACGGGGGCGAGCGCGAGATGCGCACATTTGTCTTGAAAACTCTTGAATTTCACACATAAGGCTTGTAAAACAATGAGAGTATTGACTTAAACATCTCTTCCTTGTATCTTCGCTCTTTCACTCACTCACTCACTTGCAGACTCACTCACACGTAAGACTTGGCCAACAATAAGAGAGTTGCCTTGGACATCTCTTCACTCACTCACTCGCAGACTCACTCGCTCACTCTTCACTCACTCACTCGCAGACTCACTCGCTCACTCTTCACTCACTCACTCGCAGACTCACTCGCTCACTCTCTTCACTCACTCACTCACTCAATCACTCACTCACTCACTCACTCACTCACTCACTCACTCACTCACTCACTCACTCACTCATTCACCCAATGCTGCGCTTCTTGAACCACTCATCTCTTCGTATCTTCACTCATTCGATCCATTGCTTGCAAATTGTCAAATTGGACATACCTGAGAAGCTTGGAGTCGTTCTTGTCGCCATCCGTGTTCTCGCCGCGGCTAAACACCTTGTCACGGCGGCTACGGTCGTGCTTGCGTGCGTCGCTCTGCCTCCACCAGACGCCATCACTTATCCCTCACTGGACCATCAGTCTAGCTCTACTCAGGGCTCATGCCTCCCGTCCCCCTTTCGGGTGCAGCCGGAGACAATACAGTCCGCAGAGTAAAGCACAACTTCCGGTCGGCGAAGGTGGCTTGGGATGAGTGGAAGCGTCGCTCTGCCTCCACCAGACGCCATCACTTATCCCTCACTGCCCTTAACCGGGCCATCAGTCTAGCTCTACTCAGGGCTCATGCCCCCCGTCCCCCTTTCGGGAGCAGCCGGAGACAATACAGTCCGCAGAGTAAAGCCCAACG